ATATATATATATAAAGTATATTGCTGCTTTGCATGTTTTTTTCATAATTAGTGATGTTTTTCCAGTCTCAGAAGTCTAAATACTTACATTCAGCTGATGGTCTTGCTTCCAGATGTGTTATGAGGATGAGAAGTAGTGTGCAGAAATACAGCAGCTTCATCTTGCAAGGTGTAGAGATCGTTATAAGTGACTATGGGGAATAACAATACAAACAGTATTACTATTCAACTCAATCTAAACAGACTGTAAAGTTTTCCATGTTTTTATCTACAGTTTCTTAGTTTATGAAATTCAGAATGTAATACCGATCTTTATTTGTCTATAGATATTAGCGTTATTCTATCCAAAAGTGACACTACAATTATACACAAACTGTGTGCGGTTAAGCCACCTGCTGGACTTCAATGGTAAGATCTTCCATCTATTTTGCTATCCACCTTGGAGAGTGGCAGATGTTTTAAGTGTTTTCACCCCTCATGTTTTATTCAGTGGGGAGACTGGAACCCCCTTCTAATGACCATGGCAGATGTGCAGATCTAAGAATGGTGGTGCAGAAATTTTACCAACAGAACCCATGAGAGTCTCATGGTTAAACTCTTAGAATCTAACAGAAACTCAAAGCTGAAGTTTAATCTTCTTATATTTTGCCTTTAGCTACAGGCAGGCTCTATCTGACATGCTGCAGCTTCTAATGTACACTATGAGAAGCTCAGACTGTACAGTGAAATCAGGGTTAACAATTTTAGTACAAGATAGGAGACTGGACAACTGTGCATGGGAGGCTGGAGTTCAACCAAAAAAACAAAAACATAGCACAGTGGCTTAGTGGTTTGCATATCTGCTTTGCATCACTGACAGGCCCCGGTTTATACCAGTCAGGACACTATCAGCACTGTGCTTACGTGGGTTTCCTAAGGATATACCGGTTTCCTCCCATACTTCAAATCTATGGGGTTCGGATTATTAATAACCCTATGACGTGTATATTGGGTGTATATGAATCCTTAAACAATGAATATTATGAGAAGCTAGCCATTATGAGAGCTCTATTTGTGGCTCGTGGACTTATTGCATGTAAATGGATGTCGGCAGTGACACCTACTAAAGGGGAGTGAAGAAAAGCACTTGAAAGAGTGGTTGCATAATGTCAAAACATTGTGGCATTTTAGATAAGCACTGGAAAATGTGGGGAAAGTGGAATGCATATAGTGCCAATGTATGTATATGATGTGGGAACTTTATTGCAAGTAGAAGATTATGTATAAGAAAAAAGCGTGATCAACTGTATTTAACTCATATGTGGATCTTTTCCTTTTGTTTCTTATATCTTATATATTATAATCAGCAAATTGAATCTTTCTTTCTTTTTTTTTTGTTTTGTTTTGTTGGTTTGTTGTTGGTTTGTTTTATTGGGTGATGTGATTGGAATATATTTTATGTAAACTTTTAAAATGGTATAATAAAAAATATTGAAGTAAAAAAATATATAAATAAATAATATAGAGGTTGGAATAAATAGCTCAATCTCAGTGTTTGCTGATAAAAACAATATTTTTAGGGCTGCTGTACGGGCTATTCACTATAGCCCGTACAGCAGCCGAAGGCGGCCGAGCAGCACACCCAAGCGGCTCAGCAGAGCCGAAGGCATATGCTTCGGCTCGACTGAGCAAAAGTGACAGTCGGAGCGGGGCGAATGGCCTGCCGAAGCCTAGCCTTTCACCTCGCAAATGACAGCTGGGCGGAGCCAGCCGTGATCTCGGCTGATCCTTTGGCTAGCTTTGTGAATAGACCCTGTAGATGTGTTTCTAAGTTCACAAAATATACAGGAATATGGACATTCTTAATGACATGCACATACACCCAGACACACATACATACAGTATATAGGTTGAATTAGATGGTCCTTTGTCTTTGTTTAACCTTACAAACTATCTAGTTATTTGGTGGAGTGACTAATTAATTAATTTAGAAAAAAATGTTTAGCAGATATAACCTGTAAGAAAGTTATTAGCCTGAAAATTGTGCAAAATTTTACACAGAGCTACTAACATCTGCAAAGTCTTAGTAGATGCTTAAGGCCACGTAAACCTTTGGAAGGCTGCATCAACCTTAGGAAATGTTTTTGAATTTGCAGATATTTGCTACACTGTATCAAATTAACAAAATTAGAGTCTGTCTAGTAATAAACCTTACCTTTACCTTATTAAGGTAAATTATCTCATCTGAGCCTAAAATCTATGGCAATGTCTAATGTAAGTAATTTTAAAGCAGTACTTAACATTCTGAAATTGCAAATTAAAACTAATGCATGCAACCATAATTATAAACTGTGTTTCTTGAGGATTTCTCAGTAGGTTTCCCAACTGCTGGGCAGGCACTTCTCAAGGCCAAGGATACTCTGTGACCTCTGGTTTAACCTCTCTGCTGGCTGCACAGCTCAATGGTCTTAGGTTTTCTACACCTCTCCTTCATTTGCATAAGGGGCAGAGTACATCTTTGCACATAACAGTGGTCATTTGATTGACAGCTGCATTTGGCCAAACAAGTGGTTGATAAAAGAGAAGGAGAGAGGCCGGGGGAGCACTATTGCCTATTGTTGGATAGACTGGATAGAAGACAACTGTAATCATTTAATCAGAGAAACAGATTATAATAGGGAACATTACCATGTAATGTTCCCTAATATAATCCATTTTGCAAATTAAATAACATTACAGCACAGTGTGCGGTTACACCCCCCCCTGCAACAAGACCCCCGGCAGCACAATCGCCCACCGCCCCCCAGCCCCTCTCCATTCGGACTCACCCTGTACACTGAGTTTGACAGCATCCCGGCCACACAGGGGCGGGACATGCGACACAGACACACTCTCCTCTCCCGCTGCCTGTTACTAGGGACGCGGTCGGGAGAGGAGTTGAGTCACAGGCCCCTCCCCCTTTCTGAGAAGCTGCTGTGCAGAAGAAGCCGCTGTGTGTAAGAATGATCGCCACCGCCGTCTTTAAGGGGTCTGCTCAGTCCTCTCTGCCCAGTGGCAACAGTCCCCAAGAGCGGATCTCAGTGAGCCCCTCAACTGCCTTTGCCCCCCGGGGCGGCCGCACCAGCTGCACCGCCGGTAGTTCCGCCCCTGGATTACACATCCCACAGTAATATCACTGTGTTTCCTATTATTGGATTGGCAGGCAAAAACTATGATACTGTGGAAAAGACTTTGCTGGCCTACTTCATTTTACTATTATTAGCAGGGCAGCCATCAGGGGGGTACGACCGATACTCATGTAAGGGGCCTGGGCAGCCTGGGGGGCCCGCTCGAGTTTCTTTTGTGGTCTCTTGATTAAAGCAAGCTTGTAGTGCCTAATGCCACCATTGCTGACCTCTCCATCTAAAAGTACTTGTTTTCTGGTTGCCATGCTGGTCCAATTCACCTGTGCTCTTCTCTACTGACCACCCTTTCACCTGTGCATGCCTCCAAAGGTTGCCATAGCACCCACACAATTCTCCAGTGACTGAAAATGCACCCACAAACTTCAATGTCTATCACTGCACCTATACACCTAACTTGCCGCCATTTCACCTTTGCACTTCTCCACTGACTGCTACTACACCATGGAGCATTTCTACACTGACTGCAACTGTAACTGCACCGGCTTATATCTTCACTGCCAATGTAAAGGCACAGCATGTACCATAAACTGCCATATTGTATACTCTGTAGTATATATTGCGTTCCCCAGACTACTGAACTTGCTATACTATATTGTATATTCACTTCACATATAAATATTTAAGGCATTCAGTATTCATCCTGTGCACAATTTTGCTAGCACAACATAAAACACAAACTGGGATCATATGACCACAGCTGTGATTATCTTCTTAAAATAATTATGCTTTCATGAAGGCTTCTCTTTGAAATTAGGATGTAGGCGTATAAACAAAAAAATAAATGGTTGTTTGCAACTTTGAACACCGTGTTTCCTGTATTTTCTCTTTCACTGAACCAAATACAATATGGTTGCCTTCTTGCCATAGCAATTCACTCGTGTGCAGCTGGTTCTCAATAGTGTGTCTAATGTGAATGAACTTCGCTAGGGTTAAGTTACTACCAAGACTAAACACTGCCGAATGAGCCCAGTGTGCCCCACAAAAGGAAATAAAGAACACATTTCCAGCTCAGTTAGTTCAGTTAGTTTATTTAAGGCAAAATGAATAGCGTACCACATATGTTTTTTCATTGAAATGACAAGCTACATTATTCTATGCAAAGTATACTAAAACAGTTTCATGCCATTTATGTGTATCAAATTTTGGCTAAAATTCAGATGCTAATGCGGCTACTCAATAGCAGGTTATAAAGTAATTAAATATAGAAACAAGTGAGCAGGGCCCGCCTTAGGCCTTTAGGCGCCCTGTGCAAGAAAGCTTTACAGCGCCCCTCAGTGACCACACCTTGGCGGCCGGGAGCGGGAGACTCCCGGGGCGCCAGGGAGAGTTAGCTGTTTGGAGATCAGTGTCCCTGGTTAGCAGGTAACCAGGGATGTCAGGTTGTCACGTGGACCCTTTTTTCAAGTGGGTGCATCTAGAAAAGTAAAAATAAAAAGCAGAACATAAAACCCAGACTACATGTTAAATTAATGAATTACTATATGTCCAAATATATGAAAAATGTATTCAGGCACATAATAATTTGTTTGAGAATGTGCGGCCACCGGCACGTTCTGCGAATGTGTGCCACCACGTTCTCCGGAATGTGTGAGCACATATGGCAAAAGATCAAATTGGGTGCAGGTTTGTCAGGAGGAAGCCCAACCTCCCTTAAAGGCACAGGGACGCACAAGGGATCCCGCACATCACAAGGCAACTGAGACCCCCCATGCATCACTGAACCAAATCAGTCAAGCAAAACAAATGGCAAACGCACTCAAATGGCAAACGCACAGGTGACGTCACACGCCGATATATGCGCCACCATCTTGGTGTATACCCAGATATACACCAAGATGCGCGGCGCCCAACACGTGCGGTGTTATATGACGTCATGCGCCCTGCCTCCAGAACGCGCCAATGGCTGAATCCAAAATAGCATAAAAATTTGTTTTGTTTGATGAAACAAATGAAAATGTTTTTAGTTTTCGTTCATTTCATCTGAAATTAATTTTTAATCTTTGCACG